AGTGAGCCATATGATGATGAAGAATTTGAGGGTTATGAAGACAAACCAGATACCTCTTCTAGCAAAAACAAAGACCCAATAACAATTGTTGATGTAAGTATATAAGATTCCAAATTCCAAACTAAGCAATAAATCATTATTCCCATAACTGTAATCCATGACATACGGTGGGTATTGAAATAATGGTGCAATCTAATAAAGAGCTTACCATGAATTCTGAGAAGCATCCATTGCTATGAAGCAATTCCCAAGCTGTAGTCTAGCCCTCCCACTTTTACTTAATTCAAGTAGTATAAGTGGGCGACATTGGACGTGCTCTGGAAAGTGACTGACCTAGAGCCAGGCGGTGGTGACAGCAGCACACTCCTCTGGTCCCAGCACTCTGGAAGCACAGGCAGGCAGATCTCTGAGTTCCGAGTTCTCTGGTGTGCAAGTCAAGTTCCAGGACAGCTAGGGCTACAGAAACCTATCTCAAAGAAACAAAAACAAAAACACGCCAAAACAAAATAAATAAAAAAGCTGACCTAGAAGATCAAAATAGGCATCTTTTTTGAAGTGTAATTTTTTTGTTGTTGTTTAAAAGATTTTATGTGTGGTAGTGTTTTGTCTGCATGTATGTCTAGTGTATCATGTGCATGCCTGCTGCCCTTGGATGAGGCCAGAGGCAGCATCAGGTCCCCTGGACCTGGAATAGAGATGGTTATAAGTTACCATATGGGTGCTGGGAACTGAACCTGTGTCCTCTGCAAGAGCAGCCAGTGCTCCTAACCATTGAGTCTTCTCTCCAGCTGCTAAAGTGTAAATTTATTTCCAGTGACAGTAATATAAATTATCCACTTCTGTCAGTGGGCTTTCTCATTTTTTCATCCATTCTTTAGACTCCATGTTCAGTCTCAGCCAACATTAAATGGGATTTTTTTTTTCCTTAAGGTCCCTGCACACCTCCAGAACAGCTGGGAGAGTTATTATCTAGAGATCCTGATGGTGACTGGTCTGCTTGCCTATATCATGAACTACATCATTGGGAAGAA